TTCCCAGGTTTTAGGACTCATTCCTGCACATCTCCATATCCTGTCTTTGGCTCTTTTCTGCTGGAACAATGTACATTTCCCCTCTGTGGGACTAATAAAGGTATTCTGATTCTGATTCCTCTCCCCTCTACTGCAGTCTATCCAGCTCGATCCAGGCCACCGCCCTCTGCTGGCTGTGGATGGTGTTGCAGATGGCGGCCAGCAGCTCGTCCGTGCAGCTCCAGGCGCTCGGCTCCAGGCTGAAGTAGAGCAGAGGAAGGGTCTCCAGCTGCAGCTCCTCCGCCTGGCACACCTCCTCCATCACGCTGTCCACCCCACACCGCGGGAACAACTTCCTATTATCAATTTGAGATGCAGCAAGTTAAAGGAAAATACTTTGAGCTCTTCAAAAAAATGTATATCTGTAAGGTACAAACATTTGCACATCGGTGTGTATGGTGCATCTGTGCCAAGTGATGCGTTTAGAATCCAATGCTTACTTACTATAGCACTTAATTCGCTATACTTGCAAGCTAATGAATTCACCCTTACCTCAGCGTCTTGTGCTTTTTGTTCTTAGGGCGGATATGGATGACGATGGGGTAGATCCCCTGTCTCAATAAGCCTTCAACACTGTGCAGCCCCAGCTCCAGCAGACCGTGCTTGTCCTGGGATAAAAAGGGAGATTTGAATAATGTTTGACAAAATACATTCATTATTATACCATAATCACCTCTTTTCATAAATTGAACATTTGAACTAGCAATTACTTGTTGTTGATTTTTAACCACAAGCATCCTTCTTACTTTAGCTCGAGAGACATGGGATGTTGGTGCCTTGAAATGACTTTTTTTGAATGTTTTTATTTCCTTACCTGGCTGATGACTTCCTGTATCGACTGCAGCCGTATTCCCAGAGCCTGCTCGGGAATGCTGGAATCCAACAGGAACACTTTCTTGTCTCGTTTCTCTGAAGCCTGGATAGGTTCTGCAGACCACAGGAAGCAGGAGGAGAGTGATGAAGGTCAAAGGAAGAATCATCAACCTTTTTGTTTAGTGTTTGGGCAACAGCAGGAGCCATTTGTGTTTGTTGTTTGCATCTCATTATTTTTGAAGGGTTTATAACACTTGGTGGTGATTAGATGCACAGGGGTGTCATTATGGGGGCCAACAATTACAGGAAAGGAGGGCACAGTTTTTATCAGACTTGCAGACAACCAGAGCTACATTAACCTGAACACCACTCTCTTGCAGAATTGGTGATGTACAATAACTTCAGTTAACTTCAAAATGCATCTAACAACTGGAAAATATTAAGTTTGTGTCTGAGTACGATCACTACCACCTACCTTTGTAAGAAGGAAAAGAGGACATCGGGAAGTATAAGAACTGCCATTAAAGGCATCGTGTGTGTGTGTGTGTGTGTGTGTGTGTGTGTGTGTGTGTGTGTGTGCGTGCGTGCGTGTGTGTCTACATACCGGGTGGGCAGGTGTTGAACTTCAGACCAGACTCGGCAGGTTGCAGCAGCCTCTCGATGAGACCCCGAGAGAGAAGAGAGGGGGAGAAGATAACCGGCCTCTTCGTCTGAACCTGCACCGGCTGCACCAAGCTGTACGGGATCAAGTGCTCCTCGTGACCTGAGGGGCACACATACACACACATAATAAACTAAATGTAATAATTACAACAATATGACTTATCACACAGATTTAGTTTGGCGTTTTGGGGAAAATGTTGGCGGGATCTTACGTTTGCTGAGTGTGTAAAGGACCTGCTTTGTGGAACCATTCCCACGCCCACCGGGATCCACTGCCTTGACTAATCGTACACGACAGGGCGCTTTCCTCAGGAACTACATGTGAGAAAATGTAAGATAAATGAACATGTGTTAGCTTTATGATAGCAGTTCTGTAATAGTCTGGTTTGGCACTGTACACATGGATAAACAAAAGAAAACAGATAATATACATTTGACATAAAAAGCACCAGTTGGGCCATCTTTCCAAGATTAATTAGCATTTCTACGTTTATGTTCACGTCATTGTAAAACGAGCAGACTTACCTTCCTCTTGAAGTCTTTTTGCTCGAGCGCCATTTTTCGTAACCTTACAAGCAACAACTGTTGTGCCCTGAGATGGAACATATATACTTGTTATTTACACATACTCAAAATTCTGCATATTTTAAATACAGTCATATTTTCTTATTTTTAACATACCACATCAAATTCTCCATATGGACTGGTGCAATGCACAAATCACAGGCTAAATATGTGTTAGAAATACTATTTTGAATGAAGTGTTGTCGAACTGCTGAAGAGATATCATGACCTAAAAATAGTATTCAAAATATTTTACAAAGCATATGTGTATGCTACAGATCCTCTCAAGAAAGTACACTACGATCACTTTATAATAATTAAATGCAAAATTGTCAATTTCTCCAATATCTTGAATCACATTGCAATATCAGTCAAAATAATCTCAATGACTTACTTTTTACAAATTGTGCAGCCCTACACTATACAAACT